ATACTCTAATAGTATTGCACAACAGTAGCACAGTCTCAGTGAATTCATCACCTAGGGCTTGTTCATACAAGAGGCATTATTTTTAAATTGATTTGGTTAAAAGTATGGAAACACCCTGTGTAAATACCTATTCATGCTTTAGTCCGGTTTTATTTACCTTCACATAGATTAGGAAGTAATTTAAGGTAAAATACAATAAACCATTTTTAAATTGAACATCAGAATGTTTACATGGATTTGCATCCGTCTAAACCTCAAGTTAAACTGGAAACTCTTACATAACCAAGGCCTTAGGCCAGTGGATCTCAACCTTCTTAGATCTTCAAGGCACCCCTCAGAAAATCCCAGCTCTCTGTTTTCGCTTTTTTTTTTTCACTACAGAAAAATAGAGCAATTCTTCTGTTGCCAAGAACTCGGGAAAGCCATTCCTTCATGAAAACTTGGGATTCATCCTGTGAATCATGTCTGCACAATTAACAGTACTAACATTTCAAGGGTGGAAGACCCCTGAAAGGATCTCAAGGCACCCCAGACTGACACAACACCCTAGTTGAAAATCACTACCTCAGGCTGTGACACAGCTTCACAACTTGGCAATTAGACTTTCCCCAAGAGGTCTAGAACACATATACAGGTTTCTCAAGCTTTATGCTGTACATGCATTGCTGGAAAATGGCACATAACTCAAATTCACATAAAGGGAACCCACTTAACAATGCAACAAATAGGGATACGTCCAAGACCTCAACTGTACTGACCCCCAGACCCATTTCTACCACTTCTACAAGACAATTTTGGTACTCACCAACAGCAGACAGGGCACAATCATAATGTGGACGGCAACTACAGAAACACGTCGCAGACAATGAGCAAGGAGCACAGATCCACACAGGAGACTATATTTTGGTGCACTACACAAACTAGCTGACTGCCAGCTTCCATCACACCGATCACATAAGAGTGAATTTACCTTGCATATAACAAATTTTTGGTTAAAAGAAAAAAAAGGGTCATTGCATAAAAGCGAGTTTGCACATACAGAACCCGCATAAAGCAAGGGAAACCTGTACTTCAGAATCACTTGCAATTGATCAGCTAGAGATACCTAGAAAGTATTTGTGCCTGTGTGTCAACTGGTTAATAAGGCTAATATTTCTTCTTAATTTGCTTTTCTGCTGATTGCTACCTGGATACACATAGATGCAATGCCGCCTCTCCCTGACAAAAATTACAATTAATCAGGGAAATCTGATCTGTTCAGAAAGGATTACTATGTATGATGTGCTGCAGAAAACATCAGGCAACCTTTCACTTATTCAAAAAATTAGTTCAACAAAAACATGCACAGCATTTTTTCCTAAGCAAGTCACCTTTGAAACAAACACATTTTAGTGAGGGTGTTTGTTTTAATTTTTCCATGCCAGAAACAAAAGAAGTTAATTCTTTGAGTATAAAATCCCATTAACTTCTCTGAAAAGCAGAGATAGGTCTTTAAGAACGGTGGGAAGGAAAATTTCACTCTCCCTCCCTCCCCATGAATGAATCCTTAAGCTCTTCCTCTGATTTGTACCAATGACTGTAGAGCAGGGGAGTCAAACTCACCCCATGCCCTGGGCTGGATCCAGACCAGGGGACTCCACACAGACTAGATCTAGCAAAAGGACTTAGGGTGGCTGCAGCAGGGTTTGCAACAGCTGATGTGGCCCAGGGCATGGGACAGCTGCAGGAGATCCAGCCCAGGGCCTGGGGCACAGGGCACCAGCAGCATGTCAAGCAGCCACTTGCCACAGCAGTGGTGATGGCCTAATAGGCTGCAAAGTGAGCTGGGCTGTCACCACAGACCTTACTTCCGGACATAAGAGCAAATTCATGTCCAACCTATGCTCTCAACATCTTTAACCCACTAGTGGCCCAGCAGACAGGATCCAACCCACAAGCCATTTGTTTGACACCCCTGCTGTAGAGCCTTTCAAATTGCTGAGAAGAGCTGAACTGTTTTTAAGGGCATGTTCATCCTCTACCTTTGTTTTACAAGCAACAGAACTAACCAACTTGAAACCAGGACTGGGATCCCATCAGTTCCATGGAACGAATACCACCTTCGCAACATAACCAATGTTTTACCTCTATTTCAGTATATTCATGACAGTGGTGGATACTACTCTTCTTAGGAGAACAAACTTTTACTCTCCACCCTGAGTCCAACTTTCAGTAATACTGAGACATTAAAGATCAATTAGGAACAAGGGGAGGAGGGGAATACTATCTTAATGCATCTGAACCTCCAGGGGAAGAAAAAAAGAACACCTCATAGCAAATTTGAGGGTCAGGATTAATTCGTTGGATAATTCAACACCTGCTATCATTCAATTAGTGTCATGTGTTAAAGTATTTCATCTGCTTGACTACATAGTTACAAAGAAACTAATGATCTAATCCAGAAGAGGTTACAGGTAATTCAATCAGCATTCTGCACACATACTCTCAATCAAGTTTTGTTAATATGAACTACTTCCTTAAACTGAAATACAGAGGATGAGGGAATCAACTAACAGTAGTACTCTAGACTGACTCTAAAATCAAAGCCTTACAAGCAGCAGAGTGCACAAAAACTTATTTGCTAAACAAAAAATGGGGGGAGGGAAGAAAAAGAATCCAATACATGTTTAAGATGCAAACTATTTTAACAAGAAAAAAAATTGTATGCTTACTTAGTTCTCACCATCTTATTTCATGTCCTATATCTATGGTAATCAGATGCCAGAAAAATATCCTTTCTAGTTATTTCAGTAACCTGTAGTACAGTGAACTTCAGTTTGAGATTCTGAATGAGAAGGCAGCATTCCTTAGGAGATACTGGACCTCTATGTCATCTTGAAATAGCAGATGCAAGGCACAGCCCTGAAGGGTTTAGGTACTTAATGCGGAGGGTGAGGAAAAAAAAGGAATAGACATTAGCACTAGACGGAAACAGGAAGTGGAAAAAGAAAGTCTCCAATAAAGTTAGTTTTTGTTGACTATGACAGCAAACGCTTCTGAACCTTTAATGAACAACTCTGGTTTGAACAAGTGGAGCCTTCAGCTCTCAGCAAGTCTTCTATATTCACAGATACAACTTAGCAGGGAGGTGCATTTATCTGAGAGCCTGATGCTTCAAACTGGAATATAATGCATTAAAAGGAAAGATGAAGACTCTTCCTCTTAAAGTCATCTAGTTAGTCTGAATGTGAAGAACAAAAAGACATTTACTAATAAATATTAAAAAGTACTCCTTGGAAAAAAAATAACAACTTTAGTAAAAAAATGCTGCACATGAAAAAGTTGCTTTCACTGCACTGTAATATGTGTAATAGATAGTTTCACATGTAGTTGTGGAAAAGGAATAGGAGCATACCATATAAAAGTAACAACTTAAATTATTTATGGCAAAACTACTTGAAAACAAAAAGATGTTAGTTTACTGGTCACATGAAAGCTCTTGAATCAGACACCATGTATTGCATTACTGAAAAACTTTTCTTCTTCTACGTAAATCACTACAGAAGACCAGTCCTAAATAAGCTACTGATTTGTGATCAGGATCAAATTCCACTTCAGGCTGAAAATTTGTGTTTGGGAGAGATTTTTGCATTAAGCCTTCTAATTTATTTTCCTAGTGCCTCGCTTACACTTGTATCTGAATGCCTGCTATCCACTTATGTTCATTCATCTCTGTAACACCCAAGAACGTTTAATTACAAACCTCTAACAGCCAGACTTTAAGTAGGCAGGATAACAAAGCTAAGATATCCATTTCCAAAGTGTTAGGCCTTCAGTTGACTCCACACATGGAAATAATTGCCACTCTGTCTAATGCCTACAACAAGAAGTGGCATGATGTAGACACAGGCATAGCAGTAACCTATCCATAGTTACTGTGTGCATCTTTCTAGGCTAAATCGAAATAGCAAGGTAAATCATGAAGTTGCATTAGCCATGCTATACTTAAAGCTGATGCAAGAAATACTCTGAAGTAACACACATTATTATTTAAAGAAACCTGATTCTTTGAGTACTGCAGCTTGTGTTCAATGAACACATTTTATTCATGTAAAATACTATATTCCCACATTGCGATCATATCAGCCCAGGTAAAAAAAAAAAAAAAAAGAAAAAAGGGGTGGGGGGTTAAATAACCTGACACATACCTGAACTGCACAAAGCAAACCCAGTACGCCTCATTTGACCATGCCCCCATCTAATCGACATCTAGAATGTCTAGAAATGTTGGGGCAAATCATGATGAGAGATACCAAGATTTAGATATTTTGAACACTTCTTGGTCTCATGACCCTTCCTAAACACCACTTCCCGCAGCATGCTTAATGAGCAAAACAGATCTTGCACTAGTTTCAGAGAAATCAGATGTCATTTGACATTCTTAATGACATGAAGATGTGAAAACACAACCGCTCTCAAAACAGCAGCTTCGTGCACTCCCTGCAAAGCTCGCTGTGCCAGAGGCGGGGTAGGAGGCGCAGCTGCAGGAGGAATCCCAGGCGGTCAAGGGGGCTGGAAAGACTACCCGAGGCAAGCAGAGTAGTCTAAGGGGGCAGAAACCATCTCTGCTAGGGGGAGAAGGGAAATCCATGCCAGACTGAAGTCTACCAGGCCTTGAGTCCAAGCGAGCCCTTTGGGAATCCCATCCAAGACGCTGCAAAAGCGTGAGGCATGACTAGAAGAAAACCTTAAGTCAGCCTGAAGTTGTGGGTGAGTCGCTTAACACCGCCACAGCCTGCCGCTCTCCGAAACACGCCAGCGGGGTGGTGAACGGCCCTGCCCCGACAGACACTTTGGGAAGCGCCTCAGTGGAGCCGCCCAAAGGCTTCGTACAGCACCTGCCCCAACACCAGCCCCTCAGGGGCCACAGCCCTGGGCCCTCGCAGGGCCACGCTGGGGCTGAAACGGCCCTGCCCACGGCGGCCCGCTCCCTCCCTCCCTCCCTCGGCGCTGCCACTCACCCAGGCAGGCAGCTCGGCCGAGGAGACGGCGATCCGCACGGCGCGCTCCTCATCCTGCAGGAAGGCGAGCGCCCGGCCCAGGCGCCCCGCCTTGGCGCCGCGGTGCCGGCGGGCCCAGAAGAGCGCGGCCAGGGCCACGAGCACCCAGCTGAAGCTCAGCC